CCATTGGACCTTTTACTGTTTGGTCATCTTGAGAGCCTTCAGCGAGGTTCACCAAGTTAAGGAAGGGTCTGTGAAAGTTCTGGGCAAATTTCTGGGGCTGGACCTTGACTGTGAAACAGGTGAAGGTGGATCTCATAGGATAGAGGCAACACTGAAATGCATACCCGGTCCTGTGGAATAAGCTACCCTCTGTTATGTCTACAACAGAGTCAGTGGCTTCTCCTTTAAGATAACCAAACAGAAGATGAGCAGTTGAATCCCATCATCTCCCTATTCCTAAGACAGAAGGGATTTCAGATAGGAGGTATTTATAGGTAAATAGAGCCGCAGCAATGACAAAGGGCAAAACAGAGGGATAAAAATGAGGAGGGGGAAAATATGAAAAGCAGAGAATAGTCCAAGAACCTGCTAGAAATGTCTGTGCTTGGTTGTCACAATGAGGCTTATTGCCTCCAAAGACTACTTCGAGTGTCCAGGCTTTTCATGAATCACAACTGTCCCATCCAGTCTAAACGCCTTCCTTTCCCAGTATCTGTGCGCTAGCTTATTCCATGTGAATGTGTTTGTACAGTGATTGTGTGCTTATGCTCTCAAAGGCCAGAAGAAAGTGTCAGATCCCTTGAAGCTAAAATTAGAGTCTTTTTGTGAGCCACCCCACATAGGCGCTGGGATCCAAACTCGGGTCTCTGTGATTGAATTGTGAGCACTGCTGAACCACCTACCTCTTCATCCACCCCCATAAATTCATTCTTAGTGCATTGATTTATTGGGGGGGAGGTATGTGCATGCCACAGAGTGTGTATGGAGGTCAGAGGACAGCACTAGAGAGACTGTTCTTTCTTCTACTATGTGAGTTCTGGGATTCAAGTCAGTCTTGGTGACAAGTACCTTTTTACCAGATGAACCTTCTTTCTAGTCGGTCGTGAATCCATTTTAAAATGGATATTCAGCAAAAATATTATTGTTTATGACTCTGTCATTAATGTTTTAAAATGTTCTGAATCTTATTTATTGGCCCATGTATAGTATTTTTAGTATAGTGGTTTTAGTATATTATAGTCTAGTGCTTTTAGAATTTCCCAAGCTATATGTGGGAAGTGGTTGATAAAATGCTGATCACTAGATATTTATCTCCATTCATGACAGCATAGAACCTTGGCATGAAATATTCCACTTTTCTTTTGATGGACCTGTGGCTTTAAGCTCCTGCCCCTGGGAAGACCTTAGTACCATAGACTAAAATGCTAGCATCATGTAAATTAGGGACAGAGGGTCACAGAAAAGCCAGCACGAACAGTTCATCTCTGGAATTAGTAAAAACTGATGAAATCTAGGTTGGGAACTAAGTTTTTTTTCTTGGAGTGACTCTGGATAGGTGCATTAATCCCACAGCTGGAGACTGTGCAACTGATATAATATTTATTATGTCAAACACACTACAAGCCCCAGCCTGAGAAATCTCCACACTGACTCAGCAACAAAGACACCTTACACATAGTAAAGAAATCAATGTATGGTCATAAATCCATTACAATCATGCCTTGGGGAAACACAGGCTCTCCTAACCTTTCTCTGTGATGGATGAACGCTATACCCAGTCCTCATCATGTTATGTTCTTACATAGGTGTCCTTAAGGTCAGTCCCTGGCCGTGCATCTAAAACATCACTAGATATTCAGGAATGCAATGCAAAGCTGGTTGAATAGTTCACAGAGAAAATAAACCTGAAAATGAGCTACCCTGGGGGGAAAAAAGAAAAGAACAGCCTGAACATCCATCAGAGCAGAAGCTTGAAAAGGTTGCAGCAATTGGAATATTGTTACTTCAGTGTCTCCTATGGTTACCACCCCCAAGTCACTATTGCCAACACATATTGATATACTCCTCTGTTGATTTGGTGAGATAAATCTATTGATCACATGCCAAGAGTGAGGCCTGCTGACAGTGCTTGCAAAAAGGATTGCAGAACCTCCTGTCAGCCTTGGGAAGGCAGGCTGCTGCTGAGTTCCCAGCTGGCTCAGTTCCCAGCTTTCTTGACTCACTTCCTGCAGGAGTAGACCTTGCTTCCTCCTCTCGGGAGCATGATACTAACCAAAAATGAGTTATGAAATACAATTCCTATGTATATGCCTGTGCATACTTCCCTGAGATCCATCTCAGAAAGATGTTTTTACAAGTCAGTTTGTTTGGCAAACTACTTCTAAATAGATGTCACCATGGCATAACAATTAATTAGCTGCTGCTCGGCTGCCAATTTCACAATCTGCACAGCCTAATTCACCACCCTCTTTAGGTTCCCCAGAAAAATCTGTACAAATTTTTAAAACTTTAAGTCACTGCATGACAAACAGTGGCAATCTTTCTAGGTTAAGAAGGAGGACACTTTCTTTCCATGGTTGCCGTGGCCTTAAACTCATCAGGGGACTTTTTAAAAATACCTTCACAATGCAGTCTTAGAATAGTTCACAACGAGTAATTTTATAATGCAACTCAACTTAAACTGAATAATGTTCCTTCTAAATTGATGGGCTACACAGGAGCTGACTGAAGAAACTGCTGGATGAAAGCTCAGATATTCTAATAATGAGAGTTGTCCTCTAAAACAGATAGAGCAAGTGTTGTTGAAAACTGACAAAGTACTCTTCAACCAGATTCTTAACAACTTTGGTAAGTGCAAATGAAAACTCAAAGGTATTTCTGAGCAGCACAAAAAAAAAAAAAAGTCATACTTAAGGTGCTGTACTTAGGCTACACATTAAAATCTCTAGACATGTTTTGAAAAATACTGGTTCTCAAGCTCCATCTCGAGTCGATTATATTTGGAGCAGGGAGTGTTGACAAGGATTGGGCATCAATGAACATATTTTGCTTTGGCTTGTTCTGGATTTCTAAAATCCCTAGGGGATTCTAAGAGCAGTCATGCCTGAGAATCAGCAATTTCAACAAAAAGATACAAATCAACCACTAAATCTCTCCCTAACTAATGACCATCTCCTGTTCTCTCTACAAGTACCCATCAAAAGCACAATCTGGCTTAAAGCCTCAACAGGAAGCACAAATGCCCATCTCTGGGATGCCTAGCAAATACAATTGTTGTTTGTAGCATTATGTGTAGGATTGGGCTGCTTCATTAGAATATAGGTTCTCCATGCTCTAGTCTAGTCTACATGAAACTCAAAGTCAGTTAGGTGCTACTGACAGAAGTAGTTACCATCTCCCATCTTAACCTGCTTCAACATTTCTCCTAACACCATCTCCCCAGCCTATGAACTATAACCCTGTAGCTACTAAAGACTTCTTGCTTTAGGCCTGAGCCTAGTCATCTAACCCTTGTTATTTTAGTCCCACACTTGAACAGCACTCTGATAAATGAGCTAATCTTTTTCCAAAAGTTATAGTGAGATATCCACCCCACATGCACCTGTTACACTGACCACACCCATTTGGGTGTGGTCACAGGTGCAGACCTGATGGGATAAGCTGGTCTGGGGTCCCAGACCCTAGCTCATTCTCTTAGTTCTGGTCAGGTCAAGGAGAAATCCTGGGGGCAGGAACTTCCGGGCTATTGGTTTCTTGTGTAAGTGACTTCTCCCAGAATAAAACATATAACCTATATTTTATCCTTGTCCCATGTATCTTAATCTGTACATCAAAAAGTAATCAAAGAGAATGGGAAACCTTACTGGAGAAGCACTAGACCCTCACAGACTTTCTACAAACCCTAATTCACACCATACATTTCACAGGGCCTGGGTTAATAGCAGGATTCTATGTGTCCATTCCCAAAACTCCTTGTCTTACTACCCCAGTGGCTGCTTCAGCATCTATTATTGAGACCCTTGTCCCAGGCACATTCCTCATAACAGAACTCTCAGGAGGCTGATGTCCTGATCACCAGCCCAGGCTCTCGCCCAACCGTCTTCATCTGTTCCCATAGCCCTGAGGGGGATTAGCATTTGAACTATGCATCTTGCAGATGGAAGTTTATTTTACTGTGTTATCCTTAAGTAATCTTTCCCCAGCCCTTGGCTTCTGGGCTGATATGTTCAAGAGTCTCCAGGGAGCAGGTGCTGAGCAGTCAAATGGCAGCTGTTGATCTGTTGAAATTCAGCAATTAGAGGCTGCAGGAGAATGCTGTTGCACAGTTTATACCGAGTGTTCATGAAGCCATGGTAAACACTACACACACACACACACACACACACACACACACACACACACACACACGTCTGTCCTCGCGGACAGGTACATGTGTCCCTAAAGGAATCACATCTTTCCCCTTTTGCCTAGCCCTTCAGTGATTGATTCCTCTCATGTAGCCCAGGCTGGTCTCAAAGACACTATGCAGCCCAGGATGACCATGAACTCCTGATCCTTCTTCCTCCATCTCTTGAGCTCTGGGTTTGCAGGTGTGCACTTCCATACCCTGCCATGCAGCAGCTGAACCCAGGGCTAGGCAAGCTCTCTACCAACTGACCTGCTTCCTCCATCCTTTCAATATAGTAGCCAAGGAACTCCCAAAGAGTAACTTGAAACTGGATTTGCACTATAAATTCAAATGGTTTTAAAATGAAAATCTTTTCAGAGTGTAAAGGTCTTCTTCAGGAAATGTTGAAATCCTAGATACTGATCTGGGATACATATTTATCTGAAATAAATAGAGACTCCAAGGCTCAGGTTGACAAGACAATCAGTCATTATATCTCAGCTGGGGCCTTTTAAAAAGATAAGCTGAAAATATTCACCAACCCCAGCACCACATTTAAATCCCATCCACAGTGTAAATACGGAAGGAAAATAAGGAAAACTTGCTTCTGAATCGTTTTTCTGAACCCACAGAAATAGCTGTGTTTTGCTTCCAAGGGTCGGAGGGAAAACTGATGAATCTACTTCTCTTTCCCCAGGCTCTTCTACTCCAAAGCCCTCCTAACATTCACAGAAACACAAAAACCAGACAGACAGCTAGCTAGACAAGAGAACTGGGTGGGAATTTCACGCTGTGTTGACTTAACTCTGGTGCTGGGAATAGGTCTCACATGGGACTAAGGGATATGAAGCTCCCCAGCTCAGGCCTAGCAAGGTGACATCAAATGACCACGCTGACGGTCATGCTCTGGCCATGGGGCACAATCTTTCGGGGCCAGGAGAGCAGCATCTTGCGCAGCTCCTCCCGGAAGCTGTCGTGCAGCCAGGCGTAGATAAAGGGATTGTAGCAGGCTGAGCTCATGGCGAGCCAGTGACAGAGGAGCTGCACCAGCCCGAATGCGTAGGGGTCGATGGCACGAGGGTCCAGGTCCCGAAGAAGGTTGAAGACGTGCAGCGGCAGCCAGCAGACAGCGAACACCACCACCACCACCACCAGCAGGCAGAAGGTCCGGCGGCGACGTGCCCGGTCCCAGTCGGCTTGGCTCTGGGTCACGCTGCCAGGCACCACACGGTTCCGCAGCTTCACTGACACCCGGACGTAGGACAGGAGAATGGCCAGCAGAGGGAGCAAATAGGTGCCCAACAGCAGTCCCCAGGCATAGAGCTGGCGCTGACGCTCCTGCGAGCCCCAGAACTCCTCGCAGAGGCGTACGTCGTGGGGCTTGAGCTCCACATGGTAGGTGTGGACCGCGGCCGGCAGCGCCAGCACTGCGGATAGCGCCCAAATGCCCAGCACCGCGTAGGCGCTGAGCCTCAGCGAGATGCGCCGACGTAGCGGGTGCACCAGAACGACATAGCGGTCCAAAGCAATTGTGGTGAGTGTGAACACAGATACATAGACGGTGACCGGTTGCAGGAAGAAAACCAGGTGGCACAAGCCTCCACCGAACACCCAGCCGCGAGGCTCAAAGGCATAGGCCAGCGTAAGCGGTACGCAGGCTGCGCACATGAGCACGTCGGACAAGGCCAGGTTGCCGATGAGGAAGTTGGTCACATTGTGCAGCCGGCGCACTCGCGCGATCACCAGCACAAGCAGGCAATTGCCCACCAGCCCCACGACCACCACGATACTGTACAGCATCACGATCAGACCTTTCAGCTGGTGCACCAGCTGCAGGCTCTGGAAGGGTGTGATTGCTGCAGCGCGGGGAATGGTCACGGACCCATTGCCCTCCGAGGCCTCTGCGCTCTGGTTGGCTGGAGTGGAGCTGGCTGGCGGCAGCCCAGAAAGCAAATCGGGGTCCCCAGGGGTTCCAGTGGGCACTGAGGTCATGGCCACCTGTCCAAAGGTAAACGAAGTTGTCACTTTCCATCTTCCATCTGCTCCTCATATACCCTCCCCCACCACCCAACTCCTCTCTTTGGCGTAACTAGCCCCAGAAATATCAAACGCAATGAATGCTGTCCTTCCAGCTTTATAAAATAAACTTAGCACAGGTGCTTTAAACAGCTCCTATTCGTGGATAGCTCTCGCGGTCCGGGAAGGCAGACCTGGGAGCTGGTCCTACCTGCGAGCAGGCTTGGCTGGAGGGAAAGGGCTCTCAAAGGCAGGCAGGCACAAACTGCCTGCTGTCCTTCGGGGGTGTGTTGGGGGTGCTCAGCCCAGATGGCCGCTCGTGCTGCTTTCTTCTACTAACGGATCCAGTAGTTCCTAGTGGGCCAGTAGCTTTTGAGGGGTCTGGGAGCTCCTCCCACTCCAGCTCTCCCTTCTATGGAAGACAGGGGTGGAGCATGCTGTTTAAAAAAGGAGAGCAGAGTGTGTAGTAGGGATGGAGCCAGAAAGTGGGCGGGGCCAGGAACCTGGGCCCCAAGCTCCAGGGATGATCTCCACTGCGGAAGTGTGCAGTGCCCCCAGAAGCTGTTCCGGAGGGGCGTGCCCCAGGGAAGGGAAGAGGAGGTGCGGAAAGCGCCAATTTGTGGGGACCACCAGGTGCAGTCTCCAGAGGCAAAGGGTCGGAGAGAAATGTGGTGATAGAAAAATATAGATAAAACTAGGGAGTTAAAGAAAGACGGGACAGGCCAGCTCCAGAGCCTGCAGAGCTTTAACTGCAGCTGATAGTCTCTAGAGTTGGTGGGGGTTCTAGTAAGAGTTGCTATGCTGAGCGCTGGTCAGGGATCTCAGGGCTCTGGCCATGCAGTGGATCCTTGAGTCTTTTGCATGAGCTGTGGTCCCAGGTCCCTCTCAGACAACGGGAAAATTTCAGCACCACGGGCAGTTCCCTGGGGACCTGCAGAGTGGTGTGTGGGTACTGCGCGAGGGGGCGCGCGACAGTCGTAATTACTGCAGCTCTGTGGGTCTGAGGCTTTCTCCCTGGACTGCGGGCTCAGAGAAGTGCAGGGTGAAGGTTGAAGGGTTGGTGACTTAGGCTCTTGTGTGGACAAAGCACCTTCAGGGACCACGCCATATTTACCTCCCTAGCTCAGAAAACCCAGCCATAAGACCAGTTTGTGCTTGGCAGATTTACCCCAAGATCTGAATCCTGCCACTTCTTGCCCACTACTCTTTCTCAGCTACAGCTGTCTGAGCAGAGAATCATTGAGTTCCTGACTTGCTGTCTCTCCTTTTCCTCCTAGAATAAAAGCCCTCAGGCCTCCCTGTCTCGGTTGAGCTAGATGACATTTGAAACGCTTAGGTTTCATAAAGCCTTTAGTAGCATTAAGTCGTCACTGAAACATAAATCAAGCTGCACGGTGGCAGGTCTATCAGGAAAGGGGCTTTGTAACCATCCTGTTTAGAAGCTTGCATGCCAGGAAGAGGCTGAGTTCCATGGTCTGGTCCCCTCTCTGGTAAGTCCTGCTTTGGTCTCTGGGGCTTCAGATATCCCAGCTCCACTGGAAGCAGGCTACTCCACCCTTGAAATTCCAGTGAGTTACTCACACAAGAAGAAAAGGCAACTATAATACAAAAGTGCAAAAGCCACCAGTTTGTGTGCCTGTTTCCATCCTACACCCACACTCCCTGAGCCATAATTCTTGCAGGCAGGCAGGCAGGCAGGCAGGCAGGCAGGCAGGCAGGCAGGCAGGCAGGCAGGAAGGAAGGAAGGAAGGAAGGAAGGAAGGAAGGAAGGAAGGAAGGAAGGAAGGAAGAAAGGAAGAAAGGAAGAAAGGAAAGAAGGAAAGAAGGAACAGTATGAAAGTCCTGATGCTAAGAAGTTCACATATATACTGGGGAACTTTCCAGAGAAGAGAAAAAGGTAATTTACCACTTGCCAAAAAAAAAAAAAAAAAATCTAGATAACCACCAACACTGGCAAAGCTAATAAGCAATAGGGCTGGAATTTCAATCCAGATCTGCTTCATTCCAGGGAAAACCTGTTCAAGTACTGTGTACTTATGTGGTGTGTGTGTGTGCCTGTGTGTGTGCACACACATGTGAATCTCTGGTATTCTTCAAAAGCTGCTGTCATTTTGTTGTTTTCATACCTGTACTCTCACAGGGATCTGGGGATCATTGCTTAACTTAGTTCCACTGGTCAACGACACACAAAGGATCTGGCTGTCTCCATCTCCCCAGCATTGAGATTACAAGCGTACCCAACCATGCCAGGCTTTTTAAAGGCGCCCTGGGGGTTGAACTTATGTCCTCATGCTTGTGTATCCAACCTTAGCAACTGAGCTACCTCCTCAGCTCCCAGCTGCTGTATTTTACTGGCCATGAATGGATGGCAGGTAAACCTGCCCAGACTGAGAATACAGCAGATTCAAATAGGTCTAAGGAGAAATAAGCTCTAGAAAACTGTTTCATTGAGTTAAGCTCTAGAAAACTCAATTGTAAATCCAACCTTATCATTACCAAGTTCAACAGATATTTATGCCTCACCCAAAATACCCCTTCTGTCTCGTGTAGGAGACAAATTCTTGGCCATACTAACTTCAGGGAATATTTGCTAATAATGGCTGTTATGGTTTGAATTAGTATCCCCCAAAGGCCTGTGTATTAAAGTATGGAACTCCAGCCTGTGGTGCAAGTGGGAAGGTGGGGGGACCTTTTAGAGGTGAGGTCTAGTGGGAGGAAGTTGGGTCATTTGGGATGTGCTTGTCAGAGGTGATTTTGGAAACCTAGGCCCTTCCTCCCCCAGCCTCTCTTCTTCCTGGAAACAATAAGGTGAACAGCCTGATCCAACATACACCACCTACTGTGGTGAACTGCCTTACCATTTTCCCCAAAACAACACGGCCAGACAATCATGAACTAGAACCATGAGCTTTACTCTTCATAACTTGGTTGTCTCGGGCATTCCACCATGCCTAACACAATGACAGTAGATGACATGATACAGAAAAATAAAAGACAGAAGTACAGAAACAAAGACTAAAATAATGGGGTCAGAAAACTTGATTAAGGTATCTCTGTGTGTGTGTGTGTGTGTGTGTGTGTGTGTGTGTGTGTGTAGTCCAGAGGTTAGAATAGGATGTCACCCTCCATCACTCTCCATCTTAACTTTTTGAGACAAGGTTAGGTCTCAACTGATGGGTTGACCTGCAAGCACCCAAGAGTCAGTTGTCCCTTCCTTCCCTACTCCCAAAGCTGGGGTTATAAACATGTGACACCATGCCTTTTTTTTTTCACATGGGTGCTAGGAATCCAAATTCAGGTCCTCATGCTGTGCAGCTAAATTATGCTTATGTGCTGGAGTTGTCCCAGTTACACCGGAAACATTACAGAACGAAAGCAATTATGTAAATCATGTTTAGGTCCAGGCAGTCACAGGGCAGATAGCTCCCCTGGATATGAGTTCCAGGTGTGTCCCAAGGTCCAAATACTCCCTTGGCCCATAGGTTGAACCCCTTACCAACCCTAGAAGACTCTGCAACAGAGCTAACTACCTTGGGCAGATAACAGCCTGTGGTAGGAACTGATAAACTCAAAAAAAAAAAAAAACCCTCCATGTGTGTAATTTAGATGGCTCTAAAGGGAGGCTGACCAGAACTGCTCTTTTCTGTATAGATTTTGTTTCTTGTCTATCAAAAGTCAAAAGCTAGACTCAAAGGGCCTGATGTGCTTCCACCCAGAGGCATCCCTAAGTATCATTTAAGATTGCCTTGTTTGAATTTGAGTTTCCGTGGAAAGGCTATCATAAATGCCCTTCCTGGAGATGAGATCAACAACTAACTTATCCATGGAGCCCTCAACTAATGCCTGTTGGAAACAAAAGCAAACATAAATACTGAGTCTAAGTAGAACTCAGATGCAGAGGGAGAGGACAAGACCAGGTGGCAGAAACACATAGAGACAGCTGACCCTAACAAGGAGGAGCTAACAGGCCACCAAACTGATAGCTGGGAAGCCAGCATGGGACTGACTCAGGCCCCCCTGAATATGGGTCTCAGCCAGAAGGACTGAGCAGTCTAAGGGACCTCAGACAGTGGAGCCAGGATGTATCCCTGGTGCACAAAAGGACTTTTCGAACACATCCCCCATGGAGGGATAACTGCCTTAATCTAGAGACAGGAGAGAAGCCCTAGTCCCTACTTCACATGACCTGTCAGATCTACATGACCCCAACTGGATGGCATTCCCCTACATATGGAATTGGGGTGGGGGGATGGGAGGGTGGTTAGAGTGCTTGTGAGAGGGCAGAGAGGGTAAAAGGGAGGGAAGGAAGGAGGAAGGAAGGGAGGGAGTGAGGGAAGTAGGGAGGGAGGGAGAGGGAACTTGGATCCACATGTAAAATAATAAATTAAATTTAAAAAAAATGTTTTGACTCCAAAATTTAAGTTCAAGGACAAGTTACTGGGGAAAAGGATTTCTATTTTTTGTTTCCACAGAAAATGAAAAGCTGTGGATTCCTTCCAGACTAATGTGGTTTGATCAAGCCAGACCCCCTGAAACAGAGTACCAGGTGATCCCACATTCAAAACAGCTGGACAAAACAGCCTGCCAGACTACAGCCAGGATTTCTGAATCTTCTTCGAATCCCCCATGACAGCGCCCCTTACCAGCAGGAAGTAGTTTGGAAAGAACAACGCCCAAATTCCTAAATATTGTCTATAAATGTTTGTTTTCATTTAAATGGACTTGGTTATATAAAATAAAAAAAATGACAAAAAAAATATGTGCACCACACTATAGACACATTTTCAGGGTTTCAGTGGGACAAGGCTCTGAGCTCTGAAAAGGCTGATTCTGTTATCACATACCTATTATGGGCATACCCGCACAAATAAAAACCAACAATGCTCCGGAATATGTCTTCAGCAAATTGAAATAAATAAATAAATAAATAAATAAATAAATAAATAAATGTGAGTAGTTGTTCAAATGTTTTGATACAGTTGTGTTCTTTCACTGTTCTGTGCTTTCAATGCCATTATGCTTAAAGAATAGGGAAATTCCATATTCAGGTTTACTTACATTGTCTTCAAATATATTTTCTCTTGTAACTCTGTGTAAACTCACTAGAAAATAAACCATTAAAAAAAAAAAAAAAAAGATTGCCTTGTTTCAGTCTGTAGTCTGTATTGAATCCCAGACTTTTTGCCTGAAAGCTTAGGCAAATTCTTGGCTGTGTCCTGAACTCTGAAGGAGTGAGTGGTGTCATCATTTCCAGAAA